TATATATAATACAGTTATTATTATATAAATACAGTTATTATTATATTAAAAATACAGTCTGAGCAACGCATGGCGCTTCAGGATAATCAACCTACGTACTGCCGACACCCTCCACGAAACAGGCGATCTAGAGCAACGTTTAAGGATTAAATATGGATGTTAAAGACGAAACAAAATAATCAATTGATATCGGTACTCGACCCCCGGTAAAATTGAGACCAGTCGATCGCTGAGAGCGCCGCAGACTCTATCGCACGTATGTGGTGAACATTCAGATGGAGGTATTATATCCCAATAAACTTCTCCAAGTTGATTATCCAGACAATACCCATCACTATACTTGCATTTTTGACCTGATGTTGTTATAATGGAATTATCTTTCATTTGTAGTAAAGATGTGTGTGTTGACAACCATATTTCTATGTTTGCTTGTACTACTACATTATCCCATGAACCACAATAATCAGAATATGAATTCCCTTCACACCTCCCATCTATATTAACTTTTCCAGCTAGAGTTGTAGGAAAGTTTAAGGATGAATTAATCTTCAAATTATCTATAGTCACGTATTCTGTAAGACTTAAAGATTTAGTTTTTATCGTTGTTCAACAATTTTGTTCACCAATGTCTTTAATGTAATGAGCATATCCGTTCTGTACATTAGATATATGAGAATGCATACCACAGTAATGAATTTGTCTCATAATCTTAATTTTACAAGAGTAAGTATTGATATATTTAGTCTCAGGTTTTTGGAGTAATTGGATTGTCTGTGTAGATTTGGTCCCTTGTGGTATATCATTATTACAATCTTTATTATCAACTAGAGATACTGTTGTTATATTCATGTTTAATCCTGAACAATCATAAGCAATAAAGGCTGAAGTTAAAGACAAAGTAGACATACACCAAATTAAAACGTAAAAATACATTTTGATGAATGTTAATAGTTAAAAAATATTTTATCCTTTTTTAGTTGTCGCGTGGATCTTGCATGTACAGCACGTTGACGCGTTTCTTCTTCTTGTCACTGGTGAGCCGTAGAGGAAGGACTTGTTTATTTTCGATACCATACACGTTGATCGACACCGTATTCAACCGTTCGAATTTAGAAATGTCTTTTAATGTCATTGGAAATTCGATACCCGTGAGATTCAACACTGTCGTATAATGCGGATACGATGACTTCTGATCTGCATTTCTTTCAGCTGAGTACAGAGCGATGACCACCAACCACGCGAAGCACGCATTGTCTGTCGTACGAACATTGATCACCGCTCGTTTCGTCGTTATTTCCCACGGCACTTTGATATAGCATCCTGCGCGCATGGGATTTAGTTTGTTCACACTGATAGTCAAGTTGAGAATTCGCGACAATTCCCACCCGCTGTCGCGTTCCTGGAACTCTTCGATGTCAATGTAAGCTCGATGATCGTACCACTCGCGCAAATCTGTGTATCCATATATCTCTTTGTAATTATGCTCTTATTATATATATAAACGTTTATTGCTTCCACAAAATTGTGCTTACATATCAATTTCCGCTTACATATAAATTTTTCGTCCCAGCGCTACACTTACACGGTTTCCGCCGCTGCGGATTTACCAACTTGTATGTCGCTGGGAGAAATTCCTTAGACTTCCGTGTCCACGCTACCTACCTACCTAACTCTATCTCTCTCCCCCTCTCTCTCTCTCTCTTTCTCTTTCTCTCTCACTCTCTCCCTCTCCCCCCTTTCCCTTCTCATCCTCTCAATCATTCTCATCCATTCATATCCCCTTCCATCCTCTCGTTTAACTTCCATCCCCTCTTCTCTTCTCTCTGCAATCCCTACACATCTCCACACTAAATGATCTAGACTTTCTCTTTCCCAACCGCATATTCTACACGCCTTTCTCTCTTCAGTCAACCAATACCTATTCCCTAATTCTTCGTTCCCACACCTCCATCTTG